TACATAACTTGTAAGTAATTCACTTTCCTTAGCCTTTTCTCTTTAATCATTTGTTCGATTCGTTTAACTCTTATTCATCTTTAAGCATTTTGGAGGCTTAAATCACACATTAACAGATTTAGTGGGTCGAAAAGAGTGAAAGAATTTTTCCCCACTGGCCGCATGTGCAGAAGTCCCTCCACTGCACGTGTGGCTTCGCATGTGCTTTTATTGTAGACTGCCCAACTTGCCTTCCCTGTTTTTCGTATGTGCGACCGTGAGCCCGCACGTGCAGCTATGCATCCTGCATGTGCGGCCATGAGCCCCACACATGCAGTCCTGGGCTTTGTTTGAGCAATCTGAAAATTCAACAACTTCAAGCTTTCCAAAGGCATTTTCAAGGCTTTATTTCAAGCAATTCATTTCAAAAACATAACATATGACCATAATAAACATGAATTTCAAGCTCAATTAGATTATAACTCATTTTAATTGGGTATACAACTCAAATTGCCACAATTCTTTCATTTCTTCATCTTTTCATGGTCTATCAAAACCTATACAAACATATATACATATATGAGTTCAAAGCATGCAAAAACTAAAGATTAAAAGGTAATTGCTCATAATCTAACTCAAGACAACTCAAAACACAAGAATCAACCCTTTAATTAACCAAATCCAAAGATCACATGTTCAATTTCATGAAATATATGCAATCAAGATCATAACTCATAAACCATAACTTCAATGAGTGTAAAAGCTTCATCCTAGGTCTCAATTCCAAGCAATTACAGAGAGATTAAGGGAATGCTAGTGGATTTACACTTACCTCTAGGTCTCAATTCCAAGCAATTACAGAGAGATTAAGGGAATGCTAGTGGATTTACACTTACCTTGAGCTATATCCTTGATTTCCCCCCCCTTAAATTCCCAAGCTCCAAGCCTTTAGATAAAAGTCTCTTCTTCTCTCTCTCTCTCTCTCTCTTTACTCTCTTGGATGACTCTCCCGAATTTTCCACTCAAAAAAATGAGAGGAGATGAGCTCAAAAGGGAACTTATATCACATATATATAGCTAGGATACTTGCCAAACACGCCTTAACGAATTAGACTGAATAAATTTTCAATTAAACTTCCCAAATGACTCTAAAAATTCCTATTTGCATATTCATATACTCAATTTCGATTTCTGAACCCATTAAAGTGAGTTTGGCTTCAATAAATCTAATTAATTCATTGCAAATCAAATTTTTACAAAACTTCATATTATATTCTAAAAATCATGCTAATCATAACTGTAGAGTCAATTTCGGTTTATCACGCCTCTAAGGCTTTCAATTTCCAGTTTAAAGGTTGTAATTTCAACATATTTTCTCATAACTGACAGATACAAGTTGATAAACATGTAATGCACACACATTAAAACATGGAATTTCACATAATCACACATATAACCATACCTATAATGAGAGAATTAAAACATATGGAGCATATGAGAGAGTCGGGTTATTACAGGTTTAGTCTCCTCGAATGCGATTGCCCTATGGTTCGGACTCACATGCTATACAACTATGGTAAGCATTTAAATAAAATGGAGAAAGAAATGGAGGTTGGAAGACATATATCAAGTGTTACAAATTTGCCTCTTACAAGAGGGTCCAAATGTCCTAATTAACTAATTATTACAAACACAAATGAATTAACTAATTATTACAATACAAATCTCAAAGTGACTGAAAGGCGAGGAATCGCGTGCGTACAAGCAAGAACATCCTCCTGAAATCCCCTTTACTTATTACCAGAAACTATCCTATTTAGAGTCAGAAAAATAATTCTGTTTTGGACCTGAGGATCTGCTCTATTTTGTTGAAAAACCACCATTGCCGTACAAACAAAGTGGTTGGCTGGCCTAATGAACTCGTACAAGATTATGACCGGCCGGCCACTGCTTCTGGAGAAAGACCTATTGCAACAAAACTGGAACATAGCAAAAACAAAGGGTTTCCAAAAGATGTTCATCTCTCATGTTCCCTCCTGTCATAAAGATTTTCAATGAGAGAGTACGTTTGCTTCACAAATTATCAAACATCCCAAGGGTATTTAGATGATGATTAATGAAGCAACGGGACGGAAATCAATGAATACAAAGCTAAGGCAAATTAAGAAGAGGAAGCATTCAAAGAGATAGCATGAAACTTACTATATCTCATGGAAAATTAGAGTAAGTGAGTACCCAAATTTAGAGAGAATATGTTTAGAGAAAGCCATTCTTGAAAATAAAGCTTACAAACAAAAGATTACATCATTAAGGAAAGCAAAGAGACTCTTCTTCCTACTTATGGAAGATGAATTGAAATCCATTTCCATGCTTCAAAAGGAACTATAAGAGTCTCTAATACCTCTGATGAAAGATCTCTCATATGGCTTCAAAGCAAAATCAAAACAAGACTAAGAAAATGAATAAAAGTGATAAAGAGTTGTTGTATGCTCATCTTCCTACTCATGGAATATGGATGAGACATCCATTTCCATGCTTCAAAGATTGAACTAGAAGAGAACTTACAATAACGTTGAAGAAGAGGGATAGAGTCAAGAATTAAGCTATCTATTTAAAGCTTTAAATACATATATACAGTTCACATTCATACAAAAACTAACTAAAACAGTGTTAAAATTGAAGAAAAAGAAGCAAAAGCATGAAGAACACCAAGGGAACATCACTAATGGATAAGCCTATGGAAGGGTGGCTAACCCTTCCACCTTCAACAAGGTTTAAATTCCATTTTTAAGCCTAAAACAACTCTGAAAATCAATGTTTAAAACAGGGGATGAAGAATAAGGGAATAAAAGAATAGGTAATGAAAAGAGTTCAAAGATCAACCTATTGAAAAGAGGAAGAGCTTCTTGATTCACAAACTTCAATCCAAACACTCTCAAGTATCTAAAATTAGGTTCAAAACTTCAGCAAAAAACTTCAAGTTCAAGCTTCAATGGTGTATTTATAGAGTATCTATTTTGAATATCAAGAGAAAGAGCTTTGAAGGAACTCCTAGGTGTGTAAAACAATTCTCTAACCCTAAATTTTGAAGGGAGCTGGCCTATTTATAGATTATTAACTGCCTTCCAGTGGAAATATCTTCAAAACTGGATAAGTGGTCAAATCTCGTGCATGGGAGTAGCCTGTTGCTGTAGAAATATTTTCTACATTGAACATGGTCGGCCGACCAATCAATTGTATGACTGACCCAAATAATGTGGCCTGCTGGCCATTTTTTGGTCTTGCTGCTTTTTAAGTGGTTAGGCTAGAAAAAAAAAAGCGGGTTTTGGACTAAATGGGGTGCAAGGTTTTGAAGCTCGAAACCAAATTCTTTTGCTGAAAGTGTTGTATGTTCTTGGCGTAGCTTATTGATGAAATAAATACATTGCACTATGTATTTGACTCATCAACTATTAACTCTCGGCCTTTGTTTTGAAACACCCTCCTGTTGCTGGTGCTGTTTTTGGAGCAACAAAGTTGTGGCAGCTGCAACAAGTCCTGGATGCATGCAAGATGGAGCTTAATCCTGAAATCGTTGCAGATATTGACAAGGTTCATACAGCATACCCAAATCCTTGCCCCTAATCCACCTTGATATATTTTTTTACTTTCTCATTCAAGAATTTTGGTAATTTGTTTGTCATTTGATCTGTGCATAGGCATATGAATTATTGTTGTACTGACTATTGCAGTACACAATTAATTTGATTTGATTTTGGTAGAAAAGATCCTGAAATTGGGAATATTATGATAATGTTTTTTCTTTTCCAAATTCTCCATCCTCCAATATGGAAACTTTGAAAGTCCTTAAAAGTATTTATTTTTCTAATCAAAACATAGAAGTATAATGATGTGCACCATATTGTTAGATGTTTTGAGTTTGAAAGTCGATACCACTTGCATCCTTTAAAGACTGTCTCAGGACCACCCTCCCCATTATCGAACTGGGCAGCCCCCTAAATCTTGAATGTCATCCTCTGCAGTAGTTTGATAGTTATTTTTGGTGCTTCAAATAGTGTAGTTCTTATCCGGGTTTGCTTGCTTTTACATTTCTCATGTTTGGTATCGTTCTTCGTGGTTTTTTTTTTTTTTGTGGGAAAATTATTTTTAAATAATGTCCAGCTTAGTTACAGCTTGGAATATGGAGAATCGTAAGCCAGGGGGTCCCATACAAATACTAGCTTTTCTGTTTGTCTTAGTTAGCATTTGTCGCTAGTTATGGAGGCTAATGTCAACTGAGCATTGTCTGGAGTTTTCTTGATGGTCCCACCAGCATAGATGGAGTCAAATGTTGATTGAGGCTCTCTTTGTGATTCTCGGAAGTTTCTGTTGAACAGCATGTAAAAGCTGAGATAAAAGTAAATGAAATATAAGTTAATATAAATGATAAATTAGTGTGAACATTACACAAAAATGTTTGTTGGTCCATCACATTAATCAACATTGACTTCATCTTTTTGATGGTTGTGGTTTTGTACAATACAGGTTCTATGAGTGTTTGTTTTTTACAAAAGAGGAATACAGATATTAAATCAATTACTGATGTGTGTGTTTTCCCAGTTCCATTGATCATTGCACTTGAGTTGAGTTTGCCTTTGTTAAAAGCCCATGTTCACTCCTCTTTTGTACATGTGGTAATTGATCTATGCTGTACTTGGCCATACCTTAGACATTTTTCTTTCCTTTGATCTTTGATTGATGCCATGCCACTGACTGCTACTTCTAAGTTTCCTAAATGTATTCATTTTTATTGTTTTGGTATTCTATCTTATCTTGTAATACCACTATCTTATCATAACATTCTCCTCGTCGCTACACATTATTTGAATAGATTTCAGTGTGTGGACAATGGGTCCACATTGGTGATCTGATATCTGTATATTACATAATGTGCAATGATCCAGAGTTTGGAAGTAGATTTCAGTGTTTGATCAGATCTATTTTTCTTTGACTTTGGCATTGCATTTTCCTTTTTCATTCAGAAACACAATGAGAGCAAGGCAGAAAGCGAGAGAAGGTATTATGAGGATAACAAGTATGCCACTGATGATTAACTGATCCTGGAAGAAGGTATGGTGTAATGCCCAATCATGGGCAATCTTTTGAGTGCCTATTGTATTAGTTTTACTGATGAATTTTACCAAGATGAATGGATCTGTCATATTACTTACTTAGCATGACGCATATAGATTTCTCAATAGGGTGGGTGTGACATGGTTGAGACCTAATTTTGAAGACTAGGCCTAGTTATGGTCCAAATATCTGTATTCTATTTGTAATTGATTATATTAAATCTGCAGAAACCACTTGCAGAAGTTGTTAATGGTGGAGGTGCAATAAAAGCAGCAACTGCTGCACAGAAGAAGCACTACGATCCTTCAAAACCAAAGACAGTAATTGTCATAAGCTCTGATGAGGAATTAGAGTCCAAGGAGAAAAAGCCTGTCGCTGTCATTGCAAGAAAGTCGTGAGTTCGGTCTTCTAGAATGCCACATAGAACCCGACCTATGACAGCACTACTGGTCTCAATGTTATTTTGGTATCAACCATTACTCCAGTCTATGATTTTGTTTGCTTTCTTCCATACTGGGAGAGAAGGGTATGTTTTCTATCTTTACGCTTTGGGCCAACAAAATACTTCATGCTTTGTAAGTAATTGCATTGGAAAGAACCAAAAGGGCTTATTTCCTTTCTCCAATCTGGATCATTGTAATTTATTGCTTTTGGTGTTTTATTTCCTTTCTCCAATCTTGTTATAAGGTGTGCAAAACTAATGAATACTGCTATTCATGCTACTAGGGCTCCATGAAGTTACTGGATACCCTATAACATTTCATTGTTTCCTTCGTTTTATTTTTCATTTTTTAAAAATCCCTTGTTTCCTATTTATTATACTATATCATTTGTATATGAAGCAAGATTTTTTTGGTCACTATGCAAAGCAACTTATTTAAAGCTAACTCAAGCTTCCTTTTTCATTCCAATTTAATGGGAATCCATGTTTACCTGTCCACTGGTTGATATGTCTGTTAGGTAATTTATTTATAATTATTCATGCTAATTTTTCATTTCTATTCATGCTAATTTATTTAGAGAGGGCGCCGTCGTCTAGAATGCGAAGCTACTTTGGCAAAGGGATCTAAATCAACCTAAATGGATCTCCCCATGTTAAGAGCTAGGAGATAACAAGATCTTTGGTTAGCGTGAATAGCTTGTGTTTGTTGATCACAGAATGACCCTAATATATGAAGAGATAGGAAAAAGAAGCCTTTGTTTGTTCACCCCTTGAATTTTGGAGCTCATATTATATCTTTCAGTTGGGGGCAGCATGATATTCTTCAAGAAAATCTGGCAAACATAGTTATACTTGTCTAGCTGAAACAATTTTTACCTGAGTAACTGTTATAACTGTTTTGTGAATATGTTATTTTGTGGTTAATGCGAAAGTGAATTAATGTTGTATTTGCTATTTGAATGAGAGTTATTATTTCAAATTAGTGTTATTTTTTAGTTTTATTGCAAGTTTTTTCAATTCAATCACATAAAATTAGCACAATTTAAAAATAAAAAAAGGTTGTCACGGCATTTTTAAAAGCGTCACTAAATATCATACCAACGGTTGGATTTTTTAAAAAAGAGATACAGTGGTGGCTAAAAAGCGTTGCTAAATAGCATGTTGCCGTTAGTAGAATATAGCGACGTTTTTAAAGCGTCATAAGTCAGAAAAAGATTTGACGGCGTTTTTGGGACCTATAGCGGCGTTTAAAAAACGCTGCTAAAACTCCCATTTCCAGTAGTGTGGAGCCGTGGTATAACACTAGTCTTAGAAAAGGGATGAGCTGTGAGCCGACTTGGAAGCATCAATGGAACTTTGCTCACTATGATCTGATGGACCCAATTCCATAGCATTTGAAGATGGCGGCGAAGCAACTCACCTGCCAAGAACAATATGTAGAGAAAGTAGAGAGGAGGCCCAAGTGAGTTTGGCAAAAGAATTGAAGCCAGAGACACCACAGCAAGCCACCCAAAACACGCCATCCCATGGTGAGCAATGAAGACATAAGTTTGATGGCGGTGATTTTCAGAAGATCTGATTTCGGCATCGTAGTCGAAGCAATACAGAAGCAAACTAGCAATGGCAACACGCACAGATGTTGGGTGTGTGTCAAACAGGGATATGTCCTTATTCCCTTAATACTTGAGTTACAGAAAGCTGAGGAGCACTGGGAGGATAAAAAGGCCAGAACGGCTTGACAGGAAGTGGAGCTGTGCAGCCCTAGTGAGAAGTAGTAGTTTGTCATGAAGAGAAATGCAACATTGATTTGTCCAAACAAGTTTGTCTATGTGCCTTGCTGAGGTGTTCATGTTATTGTTGTTGTTGTAGTTGTAGGTTCAGCCATTTATTTAACATCTGAAAGAAAAGAATGGGTTACCTTAGGCGGAAAAACACCCACGCAGTAAGATTCGAAAACGTGAATTACAAGTCCTTCTTGTTACAAACTCCACATCAGTAAAGAGACTACTAGAGTCTCCCTTATGGAACACACGCTCCAAATTCTAAGGTACAAAAATGGTGACCTTGGAGAGATGAACAAAGAGAGAAATTAGTTTTGAGTGATCTTTTATAGGTAAACTATCACACAACACACATATATCTCTTTTCTCCATATCTGATATATAGAGATATGTAGATAGAGATTCATACTCAATAAAACTCTCTTCTAGATAATTAAATAATTATTTTATCATATAATTCAAATAATAATAATAATTATTATATGATAATAATCTTGTAACTCATGTGGACACTCCATGGGTTATGGATTAGTTTAGATCTGATCCAATTCCCAACATCTCCCACTCGTCCACATCTGGTATCATTTCTCAATCTCTCATTCAATCCACTCCTCATTCAAAAAAATGTATCGTGCGACCTAAGAGAAAGTATAAGATATGAGTGTTAGATTAAGTCACTATCAAGCTAACATAGCACATCACTCAAAACTCGTCTATACCCCAAATTCGTTAGACCACACCAGATTAAGCATTTTAAATCCCTTATGAGTCAACTCATAAAAATGTTTGACTTCTAATGTTGTATTTTACTCATGACTATATCAAGAACACAAATCTGACATAATCGTCCTGGTAATGAGTTACAATACATTGGTATGAAATCTAAAAATTTTCCTTAGCCACTCATGTCAATCCACTCAAACTTGACTGCTTTCCTAGACATGATCCTTTGGATCATATTCATCACGATCTTAGTGTGACATGCTAAAGTAGCAACATTGAGTCATCACTTTATAACATAGTTCTAAGTTCAAGGGCATAGTATAAACCAATTAATGGCTTAATAGGGCTCACACAATGCTAGAGTAGGGATTCATCTAGCTACTCCCTTATATGGTCGACTATAGCACACAGTATGATAAGTATGCTATGATGGAGTTCCCACTCAATTGGGTTTGTTACTCTCTAACGCCATATGAATCTTAGTCTAGTCACTATACAAGCGCCTAACCTGAGTTTCTTAGCGTAATCGCTTATCAAGTGCCTGTCTAAGACATCACATTCCGCTATATTCAAGCTTTATGAAGTTGTGGAAAAACTTCATGTTCAACTTATATAAGTCTTATCTCAACTAATGCCAAGGCGACATCTATTAATAAACTAGTTTTGTTCACCCCCAAATAACAAAACATTTACCTCGCTCGCTCTCCCAGCGCCAAGATAATCTATGTCTCATCATGCTCGCTCGACAAGTACCAGTGTGATCGCCAGTGTAAGGGGGCCGATCTTAGCTTGGTGACATATATGTAATTCAAAATATGTGCTCAAACAATCCATCATTATGCAAAATAAAAGGGAAAACTAATTTCACTATGCATAAGATTAAAAAAAGGTCCATTTGATACAATCATATCAAATCCTACGTAAGCCCAAACGCCTAACATGTCTATGAAAAACATCCCTTGCAATGGGTTTAGTCAATGGATCAGCAACCATGTCGCTAGTAGAGACATGCCTTAGGACCACCAATCCTTGCGCAAAGATATCTCGAATAAAGTGATAACGGGTATCAATATGCTTAGTTTTCCCATGATATTTGGGATCTCTCGCATAAGCTATAGCAGTTGTGCTATCACAGTAGACTACAATAGCCTCATCCAAATGCCTTGTTACACTCAAGCTTTACAAGAATCTCTTTAACCATATTGCTTCTTGAGCGGCAGCAGTGCAAGCCACGCATTCTGACTCCATTGTGGATAAGGAAACACACTGTTGTTTCTTACTGCACCATGAAATGGCTCATCCTCTAAGTACAAAAGCATAACCAGTAACTGATTTACGCTTGTCTCTATCAGCAAACCCATCTGCATCATTAAATCTGACAATCTGAGAGAACCACCTTGGAAGCATAAAGCAAAGTCTACATTCCCTCACAAATACCAAAATATTCTCTTAACTGCAGCCTAATGTGCAGCTGTAGACGCGCCTGTGTGAGGCCCTCGTGCTACAGTTCGGACTCAATTTTGTGTCACGGTTCTTAATCTGAACCAAAAGAGTCCAAATCCGGCAAATCGTTTTGAGAAAACAGATTTTTAGAAAAGAAGTCCCCAAACATGGACTGCTTTGCCAGATACAGAGTCGCCACCTAAATATTTTTTAAGGGGGAATTTAGGAAACCCTGACTCGGTGCCAAAGGCCACGTGTCCGTCATCACCAAAGTTGCCTCGGCTCAGGAGCTAGGGTACGATTGGGGAAGGTCAGCTATGAGCACCCCCTCTCGCCTGATCCTAAGATCGGCCTCTACTAACCGTGATATCCGTTTTTGAAAACGTTATGTGTTCTTATTCCTGTTATTAGCCTAGAATTGCTATGTTATGCGCACAGCACAAAAGTATAGACTAGATTGCCTAATTTGGGAATAAGCATTGCATATCCGTTTGTTTTGGAAAAATATTTTGGAATTTGCTACTCGCAAGTAGGCTAAAACACAGATTTCAATAAGCTATTCCAACTCAGACAATCCAACCTTCACCCACAGGCATTCAAGCAGTTATATCATATAAGCAGCTAGCCTCATGGTAATCATGCTATCATGGCAACACTCACACGCATGCAAGGATACTAAAGCATAACTACTTACATCGTACTCCGTGCCAAAACAAAGAACTCGTTAGCAATCAATGCATGATCCAAGTCCATGTTTAAATGTCTAATGCAACGCATACGGAATGTCACTAGAGTAGGCTCGGCTAGTCTATGAATGACATGTGAAAATGCACAAGTAGCATGTATTCAAGCCCGGTGCATGCAATACTGATGAATGATGCACGCATGTATAGCATAAGGTATGCTAAATTAAACATGACCTATTACTAACCATCAAAGCAGGTAAGTAAAAGGGAGAAAGAAGTGGGGGTTGGAAGACATGCACACACTCCCCCCCTGTTGAAATTGTACCCGATAGGCAATTTCATCCGTCGATGGACGTACGGATGGTGACGTGTAAGGTGGAGATTAAATCCGTACTCACACCAAATAGTGAGTGGTGTGAGTAGACGTGGCCGGATCCTGTCCACCCACGTGTCACGATCGTGGTGTTTTTGCTTGGAGATAAAACAAAGGTGCATAGAACTCCGCGTGAATGAACAGTAATGGGCGG